AGCAGGAGCAGGAGCACGAGCAGCAGCAACAGCAGTACCAGTAGCAGCAGCAGCATCAGCAGTAAAAGCAGCAGGAGCAAGAGTAGGAGAAGGAGTGGCAAGTGAAGTAGGGGTACAGCGAAACAACAATGAATGGTTGCGAGAATACAGGCAGAAGCAGACAACGCAATGCCTTTGGCTCGGTAGATACGTTGACATACATATGTATCTGCATGTCTCTATATCTGAAGGCCTGTACATCGATACATTCATACATCTGTATATCTTCACATCTACATATCTTTATTTCCATATATCTATATCTCTACGCACTTATATATCTGCATATACGTCTGTATATCTTTTTTCGAATTTATTAACTATTCATTATTTATTGATTCATCAATTTGTTTTTGTGGTTGAGTATTTAGTTGCGCACTATCCTATGAAATGCCGTGCCATGCCATGCTATCCTATCCTATCCCATGCTATGCTATACTCTACTCCACTCGTCTATGCCACATTCTACTTTACTCTGCTGAGCTGAACTCTACCAAACTATACTACACTATACAGATCATGTATCAATAACATACATGCTTGCATACATACGACATACATACATACAGACATACGTACGTACGTACGTAGACAGATACGCACGTATAATATAGATACGTACATACGCACACATACACATGGACATGCACATCTTGTAACCTATGTGTGCAGATGTATGTCTGCAAGTAAGTAGCCAGAAGGTTAGCTGATTTCCATTGCGTCTCGCCTGGTTTTGTGCACCTTTCGTTGTACTGTGACTTTTCAAGGCTGCCGAAGTCTACTGCCGGCGCAGGCAGCCGGGGTTGGCAAATGCATGCTTTTCTTGCAAGGTTGTCTTCTCTCGATTCTACAGCTCCCGGTGAGCCTGCTATGATTTTCCTGAGTGCCGCTCGAGTCTGGGAGGCCTCCGCGAGGGTGCTTTGCACTGCTGTGGCTCACGGCAAGCGTCGCGCTTCAGGCTTGCCTGCCGAGAGTTCTGCAACATCCTTTGATTCTCCGCCCGAAGGTCCTAGGTCCCCAACCTGAACTTCGTCGCGTGTAGTCGCTGGGGAGGTGGTGCGGCACGCTTCGGCATCCCTGCTGCCACTCCAGGCTGGGCAAAAGTCCAGGCGGTGCTAAATCATGGCCCGCGGCAGGACGAAGATGCTTTAGTGGCACGCAGGAACAGGCGTAGGCATTTTGGACATGGAATGACATCGATCAGTGGAGTCGAGGTGCGTAGCATAGCAACTTATCTTGGCACCGAGTTGGCTGTGGCTCTCCTGGCCTGGGGCCTGGCGCATCTGCGTCCTGGCGGGAACTGAAGAGGGTTTGGGGCAAAGCTTAGGGGTTTTGGGCGCCTTGCCGCTCGGTCTCTTGGATCTTCTGGCTCAGGTCGAGGCTCCTCGTGCAGTTGCCCTCCGCCTGCTGCCGCTCGGAGTTGAAAGGAAGGGGAAGGGGCGCTTGTCGGGCCATGCGATGCCAAGTCAGCGTCTCCGAGTCTCAGAAGTCTCAAGAGCATCCGAAAGCCCAGCCGCCCAGCCGCCTCTGCCATGGGAAGTGCCGCGGCCTCGAAGCTCGCGGAGGGCGTGAAGGAGGCGAGCCCGGCGGCTCTCCAGGAGTCAGCGAAGGATCTCTCCGGCGAAGAACGGAGCCGGATCATGTCTGCCATTGCAATCTTGGAGCTCGCCGGGTCCTACCATGCCTCTGCCAGCAATGGTGACTGGGGGGACTACAGTATTCAGGTCAAAGTGGAGCAAGATGGCACTGCCAAGGTTGATGAGTCGGCGTGCTTCTTCCGAGACAGCCCTTCTGAAGAGACCACACATAAAGGCACGTGCAGCGTGACGGGCGATATTCTGACCTTCACTGCCAAGGCTTGGAGGTGTCAAAATCAGGAGATTCCAGGTTTGAACTAGGCCTGTGGCGAAGGCAGAATGAAGTACTGTCTTGTCCGTAAAGAATGCCCGCGCCGAGGGCTTCTTGCGTGTACGCGCATGGCGGCGGTATCCCCCTCACCCCAGACCCCTCACGCAGTACAGGGAACGGCGTACTGCTCGCAGGGTCATCAGTTTGCCTGGCTGGCTCAGAAATTCTGTACATGTACGTGGGTGGGACAAATCTGCCATCAGCCGCCAAAGATTTCATCTGGCCAGCAGCGGCAGCCGATGTAACAGGAAGCCTTAATTAGCACAGCTTCCTTTTCGCCATTCCCGCCTCCTGACTACCATGATGCCAGGAGACGACATCCTCATCTGCCTACCACAACAAGGACGAGACCGTGATCATGAAGTTCAAGATGCTTAGCAGCACATGGAAATGTTTGTTAGGATGAAGTTCTCTGTCTGGCCGGTGATCTCAGGTTTCGGTTTGGGGATTTTCTGTGCTCGTGATATACAGCTCCAGGTAGCAATGCCACTTGTACTTAGTTGCATAAGGGGCGTATCTGTTGCATGATCTTGAACATGCACAGACCGGGGTCACCTTTTGTTGGGAAAGTGAAAGGAAATTGGGACCACTCATTGATTCATCTCCTAGTTTAGCTGGACGAGACAGGATCCAGGGAGACGGCTCGCTGGCACGGCTGGCCGCGGACGGCAAGATCGCAGAGATTCAAGGCGGTTACGATGGTGAGAAGGTGGGTAGGAACAAAGATTCCCAAGTAGAGCCCCCAGAAATCGGATTCCTGGTCTCGGCTTTAGATCGTCTTGCAGGTGCCAGCGATCCTCAACCGCCGCAAGGAGTTCTAGAACCAGGTCCTTTCCTGCAGATTTCCGCCGTGCCGACAGGCCGGCACCAAGCAGCTTCTGCCAGCTGACCTCCAAAGCCAAAAGCCCCTAAAGCATTGCGGCGCAAGACGCGGTGCATTGTCGTTCCAGGGGCAGACGATTCCAGCGTGGAAAAAGATGTCCGGAGGGCCTCTCGAGTGGATCTGCTCCTACAGTCAGTCACCTTTCAACTGGCCCGCCAAGGCCACAAGACAGGGGAAGCACATGCAGGTGTGGGGCTCGGCAGTTCTCGATGAAATGGGTCTCGAGGGGGCGAATCGAAGCTATAGGGATGCTTCCAGAAGTCGAGGATGCCGAAACGGGGTGTCAAAAATCACCTCGGAAATCGGACGCAGTCGAAGGTGCCAAAAGCCCGGGTCTATCTCCAGCACTCAGCTGGCTGGTGCTGGTGGCCTTCGGATCGCTGAATCCGGGAGGCAGCGGTGCACATAAGTCCTTTAGACCCTAAACCCTGCAATACCTAGACGCAGTGGGAATTCTCGAGTGCATTTCGGTTCAACATGCAAGTCTCCGAGTCTGAAGGTTTTTTCACAGGCCTGTGCTTGATTTCCTGAACAGTGTTGGGGTTTTGGACCCGGTTCCATCTTGGAGGTTCTATGTTCTATTATACATATATATGTATATATATACACAGTGGAACTTAGATATAAATAAATAGGCGTAGACAAACATGTACTTATATGTTTCAACACATAAAAGATAATAGGTAATTGTATATATCTATATCTATATCTATTTCTATATCTATATCTATTTCTATATCTATATCTATATCTATATCTATATCTATATCTATATCTATATCTATATATATAGATATATAGATATATAGATATATAGATATATAGATAGTGTGACAGCACCCGCAAGGGGGGAAGGAGGGGAGAGGGGCGGAGGGGGGGGGATGGGGGGAGGGGGGGGGTGAGGGGGGCGAAGGCAGGACGCAGGATTTTGGTGCTCCCCTCCCGCAAACAGCCCAAATCCATAGGAGGAGGCGAAACTTCACCGCCGGACCTTGGGGCTCATTTAAGGGTTCNNTACATACATACATATACACGCACACATTCGCAGTGGTTACATGGTATATTGTGCAACATGATAAGGAATACATCATGATCATGCATATCTTCATGTTTACCCACGCCCAAAGCCGCAACGGCTGGAAGCGAGCGCCGGCCCGAAGCGTCGAGGCTGCCTGGTGCTCCTGATCGGCTCTTCTGTGGCGACGGCCTCGGTCCGGCCATAAATTGGGGTTTAGGAAGAATACACTATATACGCTGTATTAACATACGATGTATACTATCATATTATACTATATCATTTTATATTATGTTATCTTACGTTACGCTAGGGTTTAGGGGTTTTCTGCATTTCAGGTGCTTCTGGCGAGACTGCCGCGAGACGACCAAGCAGAGGTTGGAAAGCGTTGCAACGTCCGCGTGTCAACCCCCTTTTGAATTCAGAAGAGTGTGGGCTGACCCATCAATGAACTCGGCGGAGCAAGAAAACGCACCAAAACAGCCTGTGGAAAATCAAACCCGTTTTTGGCAAAGAATGCGCCAGAGCGCGGGTCAACAAGTGGCGCTACCTTGTCTATGACTGCACAGTACGTCTGCGCATCGATTGACACAATTCTATCTTCTTAGCTTTCCTGCTGGTCTCTGAAGTGGGTGTGTCGGACCACCGGTGCAGAAGCACACTTGGTCCAGCGGCTCTCTCTGGTCATCGGCATGAATTTACTTCAGGGGCGTTCCTGGAGAAGTCAAGAAGCTGAGAAGAAGGAAACGTCAGTTTTGACTTTATGTCGACACCACCTCGCCACTCCTCCAGGATCTGCATGATACCACAGGCCGAGAGCCCCCACGCGGTAGGGATTCATCACAGTGTGTGCCTCCGCGTGCTTTTGTCAGCACCGTCGTCACCAGCGTCCAATGCAATCACACAAGTTCAACATCCATTCGCAAAGCTGCCATGAAACTATGCGGTTTTTATACGTTTGACTGAAGTGTGCCCTATTCAAGCCATACAACATCATCAGTCATCGTTACAGCGACAATACTCTCATGACGGTGACGCATGTGATGATGACCATGATGATGCACATCATGATGTTTAGAGTGATGCTCGCGATGATGATTACATTTTTTGATGCCCTTGAGTATGAAGATCAGGTTGGTGATCTAGGTGATCATTATGGAGATGTTGAGCAAGATAAAAAAACCTATGCTCCTAATTGTGGCGGTTTCTAGTGGTTGGCATGGAGAGGAAAATTATGGTGATTTCACGATGATCATGGCGTTTATGAAGGTGATGCTGATGACGATGCAGATTATAATGCAGATGATGATGATGATGATGACGATCATAATGATGATGATGATGATGATGGTGATGGTGATGGTGATGGTGATGCTTTTGAGAATGAGAAAGATGATGACGACGATTTTGGTGACGATGGTGAAAAGTATAACGTAAATGAGGATCATGACCATGATTACGGTGATTTTCATGGTGGGTGGAGAGGGGGAAGACTATGGTGATGTTTACGGTGATTGTGCAGGTGAGAGAGTGATGAAGATGATTGTAATGATGATCACGGCCATGATGACGGTGATGATGATGAAGATGAAGGTTATGATGCTGGTTATGATGATGAAGAAGATGACGAACAATAAAATGCTGATTGCGGTGATTATCGTGACTTGTATGATGGAGATGAGAATTTTGACCAGATCTTTATGGTGGTCAGGATGTGCAAGCGATGAAGATGAGGATTATGATGCAGCCAATGTACTTCTACAAGAGTCGGGCCCCAGACATGTCGGGGAAGCGCTACGAATCAAGAAAGTAATCCGCCACTGCCAACATGCCCTAGATACCTCCTTCCGCGACAGCAGGGAGTCCACTTCGTGTTGGAAAATTGCATGTCCCCGGCCGCGAAAGGTGTAGCCAAAGACAACCGAAGAATCCTGGCAAGCTTGGACAGTGCAGCCTGAACTAAGCATAACCCACGGGTCTTTTCGGCTTGCGTTAGCATTAACAAGCTGTAAACAAAAGCCAGAAGCGCAATCTACACTCTCCACCTGTACTTGTGCATTCATAAAGTCATTACAAATCCATGCGAACGGGCATATGCATAACATGCATAGATCTTCCGGCATGGTGAGTGTGTGTGTGTGTGCGCTTGCATGTGCAATGACATGCACAGAGTACATGTGCATGGTGTATACAAGTCCATATGCGCTTGCGTGTACACATATAAATATGCGTAAGTTTACGAAGGCCTCGCCCATCATAGGCTTGCAGCGCTCCATACAACGTTTAGATCTCTGCATCTAGCTATGGACTACATGTTTGTTTTGCCAATACTGTCAGAGTCAGACTCTCCAATCATTATAGGTTCACGGTTTAGAACGAGACGTAACGTCAGACATGGCAGATCTAGAATGGCATGCGTATATGGGTATACACATGTGTGCATGTGTGTATCGTGCATGCACTAGTAAGTAATGCCAGCCAGACGCTGTTTCTCGTTAGCCCTCGGATGTGTGAGCAGGCACCCTTGCTTGGCCTCGCTTCGGTTCTCCTTGGGCCCATGTTGATGCGCTCGCCTCGGCCACTGCAGCAGATAGAGACGACGCACAGGGGAAGAGATTCCACGCAGCAGCACTCCACCATAGAAATTGCTGAGGTGTTATTTGCCGTCGATTGTCTTCCTTGCCAGCAGCTTACACCGTCTCATGTAATGTTCCTGATGAATTGTCGGGCGGCCCGCTCTCTGCCGGCCAAGCTCTGAGTTCCCTGATTCCCACGACTATCCAGTGCCTGCATTCGCGGATCAAGAGCACAGCTATCCCGACCACTCGTCCTTTTGATGGATATGAAAGTGGTCATGATGACTGCCAGTACTACTACTGCGACGACGACCACTACAACTAGAACCGCAAGAGCAACTGCAACTGAGCTGTGAGCTGCAATTGCTCCTGCTTCTGCTGCTCCCACTGCACCACCACTACCATAGTACTTGCTGCTCGTACTACTACTCGTGCTACTAGTACGACTACTACTACTACTACTACTACTACTACTGTTACTGCTACTGCTACTGCTTTGCTACGACTACTACTACTACTACTACTACTACTACTACTCCTACTACTACTACTACTACTACTACTACT